GCAGCACCAGCCACAGTGGCTTGGAGGATGCTGTAGGCCTTGATGGGGGTGATGATGATCTGCTGCAGCTCCTGCAGAGCGTTTCGCAGATTCCCGCCTTCCAACACATCCTGGGGGGAGGACATGACATAGCCAGGGTCACTTGCAGACCCCTGTGTATCCCCACAGCTAGGCACAGAGAATGTTTACACAAGTGGGATCAGAAAGGGTGCCAGCACACAGAGCCAGGAAGTAAGGATCATAGCACCTCCACATATAGATGCACATTTACACACATACATTTACCCTTCCCCTACCAGGTGGTGTCCCAAAGAGCTCAGGGGATGGTGGTTTAATGCTGGGACCCACCAAGGATGGAACCAAGGCACTGCAGGGGGAAGGATAAAACAGAAGGCAAGCAGTGGTAAGAGGAAAAAGGGAACACAAACCAAAGCAGTTGTGGAAGGATAGCGTGGATAAGAAACAATCACATGGAAGGAGAGATCAGGTGCATGGAAAGACATTCTGCTCTACCAGAAAGACCAGTGAGAAACAGAAAAGAAAAGTAGGGCCCAGCCACAGTGGTACAAGTGTGAGGGTTTCAGTGCAGATGGAGGGGCTGTGTGTCTGGTCCAGGTTCAGCTCCTGGCCAGACCAGAACCTCCAGGAATGATGGCATGTTCCCGGGTTCTAGCTAAAATAACTGGGAGCCAGGGTAGGATGATTGCAAAATGGTATAGCGAGACCCTATCAAAAAATACCTCACTCCCTCCTTCCCATGCTTGCTCTCATTAAATTAAAAAAAAAAAAAAAAAAAAGGTGAAGAGGTAAAGACAGACTCTGGGATCACAGACTTCCCAGAGCTGGGGCCACTGAGGTCAGACTCGAGTGGGTAGGCATAGAGGGCAGTGTGCAGGGGCAGGGCAGTGTGCAGGGGCAGCCTGCAGCAAGGCCGACTCAGGGCCCTTGGTCTACTGGTATCACTGTGCAGCTGGTTGGCCTTAAAGTTAGGGATGCCAGGTCCTCACCTTCTCAAGGGACTTGAGGACACTCTGCCTCTCACGCAGCTTCTGGATGCTCAGGGCTATCTTGTGGCGGGCACCTTTGGTGACATTCTGTGAGAAGGGCAGAAGGGGATAAGAAGCTGGAAATTACAGGCCAAGGTACTTGAAGGTGCTCCAATAAGGACCAAAGAGACAGGAGGCTTGGGTGGCAAGAGTGGTTCCAGACGGTGCTGCCCCAACACCTCCCTGACGGTCCCTTCGGCATCACCTGAGACTCCAGGTGCTGCTCTGTCAGCGTCATCATCTCCTCATAGCTCATCTGTGAGAAGAGGGCTGCATACTTGTGCAAGCGGAGGCTCTTGAGCCATGAGGGCACATCTGCAGATAAGGAGGGAGGGTAAAAGGTCAGGAGTTTGACTCTGGTGACCACAGCCAGAATGGGATGGGGTGAGGTGGGGTGGGGTGTGCGTGTGTGTGTGTTGAGGAGGGGGGAGCTAAACTATTCCTTGCCCACCCAGCTAGACTCTTTCAGATGCCTTCTCTGGGCAGGACATTTGACCCTTCCAAGCTGCTCCACTGGATGTCTAATAGAATGACCTTACTGATTTCTCTAGAAGTCTTCCTGTTCCTGAACACAAGCTCAGTTCCATCAGTTACCTGTGTCCTGGCTTCCTTGTCAGACTTCGTGTGTACAAGCAGAGGGTCACAACCTCTGGCCAAATGAAGGTGGACATGAGGTTTCATTGCTTAGTCTTAAGCACTAGGAGCAGAGACTATTTACTTCCCTCAGGTATGTACCTTCCTTAGTGGGGTGGACAGGTGGCAGCTACCAACTTCTATCCTTTGGGTTCTGCAGAAGGCCCTGGAGAGGGTTTTGGAACTGCCTTCCCTGTCATACCTTTCATGCCACTGCCGTCCTCCTGGAAAGTGTTCCGGTTGGAGCCCTGCTCCTCCGTCTGCTCACTGCCAGAAGAGGCCACGCTGCTCTGGGGTGAGAGGGGCGCGTGGTCGGGTGTGGTGAAAGCAGCCCGGGCCCCGAGTTCCTCTGGACTTGGCCACTCACCAGAGGCCTGGGGGCTGGTAGGGATGAGTGACATTGAGCGCTTCAATGGGCTCGGGTGGATTTGGCAGGGGAGACCTGGCCAAAAAGGGAGAGAAGCAAGAGGTGAGGTTTAGGGAATCTGTCCCCAGAAGATCAAGTGCCCTGATTATCCTGTAATCCTCTAAGGGGAAGGAACCTGGGCTGGAGAACTATCTACAAAATGCTATTCATTCCCTCACTCCTCATACCCATTCCATCAGCAGGTTGTCATCCACCTCTGTCAACCTTTCCAGTTCCTCTGCTAGAAACATGCTCCCAGCCAGCAGCATCCCTGGCTGGAATGACTGCCACAATCTCCTCCCTGGTTTCCTGCCTCCTACAGTCCATTCTCCTCACTGGAGTTAAACTGATCTCTCTAACAATATAAAAGGGACAAAGTTAGTCCCCTGCTTAAATCTTTGAGGCTTCCTTTCAAGCAAAGAGCAAAATTCAAACTTTTTTTTAAAAAAGAATTATTTTATTTATTTTTCATTCATTCATTCATTCATTCATTCATTTTAATTTGACCAGAGAGGGACAGAGAGAGGGAAAGTAAGAAAGCAAGCCTCCAGGTCCGGGACTCAAACCTCGGTCGGCCACGTGGGAATCCAATGCCCTAAACTGCCACGCCACTTGCCAGCCCCCCAAATTCAAACTCTTCAGCACACTCAAAAGGGTATGCAGGACGTGGCTCTTGCTCATCTCCAACCTCTCATCTGCAACTCACTCCTTGGCTCATTCCTTTCTAACTGTCACCTCCTCCTGAATCTCCTTTGCTGTACTTGCTCACTCTTTTTTTTTTTTTTTTTTTTTTTAATTTTTTCATTTTTGCCGCAGGGTATGTACACTTGCCAGAGGGAGAGAGAGAAAGTGAGAAACCATCCCCCAGGGAGGAAAGGCCATGCTGCAATTCCCTCTCCCCTGCTCTCCTCTTGGGATTCTGGAGGCCATGGCATCTTTCAAGCCTCTGGGTCCAGGACTTGAACCATGCAGTCAGTTGTGTGGAATCCGGCTACCCTAACCACCATACTGGTGGGTGGTCCATGCTCTTTTTTTCTTTCTGATCTTATCAGCTGGCTTCCTCAACTCAGTCTCATTACAAGTGTCACCTCCTCTGAAGCCTGCCCTGAACCTCAATCTGTAGTCACTGTGCCGAGTCTAACCCCCAATATTCTATCATAGTCCTCCATCTTACCTTTCTTACAGCACCAACCACAACCTGAAATTATTATATCTAGTTGTTTACTTGTTTATTAACTGTACCCTCCCTTCTAGAATAGAAGGTCTGTGACAGCAGGGGCCTCTTCTATCTTGCACATCGTTATACCCCAGCAATTAGAGGGGGGCCAGAGAAACTGCTTCATTAGTACTTGTAAATAAATGAAGCGCACAAACTGCATCCTAACCATCCCTGCCATTAGGCACCACTACCTCCCAACATGTTTTCCTGTACAGAGTCCTAAATGGTCATCAGTGAGGTCCAGTGGCTCAAGAAGAATGCAGGCCTTCTTCCATAGGATGTGTCACACCCTCTGCCCATTCCATTTTCTGAGGAATCCAATCTGATTTTAAATTATACCCAGTGGGGATGGTTACCATGAGCTCTCAGATCTTTACAGCTGCTTTCCTGTCTGCTCAGCTAATTGCCCTCATGCCCTCTCCACCAGCTGCTCCTGCCTCAAGCTTAGCACTTGCTGCCCTCCTTGGTGGCCTGCCTCTTGAACTGGGCTGGTGGAGGAGAGCAATCTGGTCCAATTGCTTCTGCATCCCTGGGATCAAGGCAGGACACACAGTAGTCCTTCAACAGAGTTTCATGAAAGACAAAAGGGTGCTAAAGGGCCTCTTGAACTTCATGCAGAAAATCCACAAGTACCCCAAGTCAGCCTAGAGTAAAAGAAAAGGAAAGCCCAAGAGCCTCCTCCTGGGTAGGTGAGGACATCAAAGCCCAGAGAGCTGAAGCCCTTTGCTCCAGTTCCCACACGGAGCTAGGAAGCAAGTACAGAGTCCAAGCCTTGCTTCTGATGGAAAGGCTGGGGTTCCTGCCAGTGTGCCAGTGACACTAAGGCCAGGAAGCAGGGTGAGCCTGGTGTTGTGGGCCACAATGCACTGTCCATCTGTGATAATACTGATGCTCCTGGCCAGGCAGTTACCTGAAAAGAGGGCAATGCACTAGGCTGCCCAGGAGGCCATCTCTACCCTTGCCTGGGACTTCTGGTCTCCTAGAGCTCTTTCTAGATCTCTGGACTCGCTCAACCCTGGCTCTGTACCCACTCAGGACTCCTGAGGATGATAAAGCACATGCTGAGCCCAGGGGGAAGGGGATGTTCAATACAGGCCTTTTTGCTTGTCTTGGTGCATCTGGCCTTCTCCTTCCTCCCTTCTCAGCCAAGAAGTGGGGCAAGAAAAGCTGGAAGGGCAGGAAATTACCCTGATTGGAACGACTGAGCTATTCTCGAGGAGCCCGGTTTGGCCCTGCACTGGGGTGGAGACTGGCCACGGCTTGAGAATTATAAAAACA